CAGCAGGTCTCAAACAAAGTTAATGTAAAGTAGATGAAGATTCTGAGTTGAAGCAAGGGCTTCCTTCCAATGACTGCAGTGCTTCAATCCAAGTCAGGGCACCACTGCATGTCAAGGAGTCAGGGATCAGTGGTCCCTTCCTTGGATTATGTGTTACTTACACAGGTCCTGCCACCAACAGTGCAGAGAAATATCAGCCTGAGCCCAACCAAGATCCACTTACTGTAAATGTGTGGTTTTACCAATTTCTATTGCACAAATGTTTAATAGGTCCATTTGAGTATGCAAGGGTAATTAAGAAAAAAAAAAAAAAGGGGTTTTATTTGGTGCTAATTCACCACATGCAAATTCCAGCTGTTTACTGTAGACCTACCACCAAGCATACACTTCTTCCCACAGCTCATCAGAAAGCCTCTTGCTGGTGAAAGTGGTTTATCCACAACATTTTTGTTGCTGAGGCCAAGACTCCAAATGGGGGGTTTAAGTTACTAATGACAAAAAACTTGCATTCTTTAACTAGCGAATACTGTAAGGGTTTCTCCATTTACAGAAAACCACCCAGAAGTGGTTGCTGGCAGAAAAAAATGGACCAGAATAGAAGAAGCTGTTACCAGGCAGGACAGAGATGCACAAAGCAAAGCAGCAGCAAACAACAGGCTAGGAAAAAATCCTGTTATCTGGCAGCACGGGACAGCCAAAGTAAGCGACAAGTTCCTTAGTGCCCGCCAAGCAAAAGCCTTGTGCTAAAATATCCTTCTGTGCCGTGGCCAACTTGCAGCCTCTGACCCCAGGCTGGAAACAAAGCTTGGCCTTACGCCTCCTGCAATGCCTTGTGCCACCACATGACAAAAGAAATAGTTCCTTTAATAACTAGGTTTAATGTTTTGCATTATTCCTGCCCCAGAAGCAACCAAAACTTCCAGCCAGCATTAGAGCTTTACGGTGCTGGTTTCTCTGCAAAGAATGCACTGCCGTGAGTTATTTGCAATTTATGGAACCAAATAGAAAACCTCTAGGGAAATCAAAGAGAAGAGTGAATTGAACAAGTGCAAAGTTACTCCATGGGCATACAAACCTAAATCTAATATATTATCAGTAACACCTGACATCATCACAGACTGTTCTGTCATCTCATACATTTCAATTAAGACTCTGCATAGCATTGCATTTATAAATGAACAAGTATATTGGATGGTAAATGGTATGTAAAGAGTGATTTCAGTTTTGATATGAACTTTTGAGTTCATAAAGCTCAAGGCAGATCATTCTACAAATAATCTTTACAGTTACTAGATTGTGGCTCTACTTAACCCGTCTCTAACAGAATTCAGCAGAAGCACATCCCTCTGGCAGAGAATAACAGAAAAAGCTACTGAAGGAACATATAACATGAAAAGCTCTCAAAAAGAATCACAATATCTGCTTTTGCTCCTGGTCTCAGCTCTTCCAAAAAGCACAAGGAAAAGGCATCATTCAGGTCAGTTTTATAATTGCTCACATGGTCACAAACTGTAGTGAATAAAAATACTGAGATGTGGATCACTGCTGTGGTATTAGTTAGAAAAGAACGTAGCACCACAGTTACAGGTACCTCTCTTGAAAAAACTAGCTCCAAAACTGTCAGCAGTAAATTCTTAGGAAAAGTTGGTTTATACAAACTACAGCTGCTGTGTGTAGTTTGTCCACATCTTTAAAGTTACTTGGTATTGTAAAGGGGCTTTCTCTAAATGCAGTAACAACCATATATTAAACAACAGAGAATGTCTGCTAGTACTTCCCACCTCCCAGCACCACAGGAATACACTGCATTGCATTAGCTTACACCTAATTCACTTACAGACTTTACTGACCAAAGCCTGGCTCAAAGTCAAGAACATATAAGACCTTTTCACATCAAAATCACCTTTTGGGCAGGCAAACAAAAAACCTATTTTTCAGATGCCTTTCTCATTCTAGTAACTGATACAGATTTAACAAGACAATTGTATCTCATTACACTTCATACAGCAAATATCTTCTTTCTTGCTTCTTCACCCTGATAAACATTCACTAATTTATAATAAGTGGGTCTCCAGAAGAGATTGATTGATGAACCTCTAAAGTTTCACAGATAACTGGAGGTAAGAGCCCCATCCACAGAACAAGCCACCAAATATGGCACTAAGAAAACAAACCCAAACCACAATGGAATCTCATTCAGAAGCCACTACCTTGCTTTTCAGAGACCTGATTCACTGCTGAAGTGCATGGCTGGTAGTACTGGATCTCATGGCTCTGAAGAGCCCATGCTAGACTGCTGGAATTAACTCCTGTTAATTGGTTTTTGAAGGATATTTGCATTCTAACCTCAAAACCCTTGGGTCAGATGGCCTGGGGTAGAAATACAATTCATCTATGAAAGAAAAAAGATTTTTTTATGCAGTTATTTTATGCAGTTGCTAGGTCAATTCTACACATTTAATTCCTCTTCAGATCAAACTTTACTGCCACATCTTGCACTTTATTCTCCATAAGCCACTCCTGCAGAGCACCCTCCTCTGTCCAATAAAGATTCTGCTTTCAAGTCCCTGTTTAAAATTTGCTGTGCTCCCGTTTTCTCCCCTGCCGTGTCAGCAGCTAGGTTGACCACAGATGGAGCACATTTGGCAGCTGAAATGACCCAGATGCTGAATCTGGAGCCATCTTCCCAGCTGCAGTCGCTGGGCTCATGTCCGACTCCTCAGCTGCTGGCTGTCAAGCTGCCCTCGAGCTGTGCCAAGCGTACTTCCCAAAGCTTTGACCAAAGTGGGGCAAATGCTCTAAATCTGTGACGCCTGCTGACAGAAAGGATAATAAAGACTAAAGGTTTTAAAAGTAGGCAGTGAGGGAAACCAAACACACTTCTCTCCTTTCTCTTCTAGCCCTCATTTTTTTTTCACAATCTCTTTTCCACTATTAATAAAAATTCAAGGAGAGCTAAATGGTGAGAGCAGGTCTAATGTACCACATGCTAGTCTGAGGTATTGACCAGTAGGAGATTCCCCTTCATCCACACTGTGTGCAATGCAAGGTGGCTCATGTACCTCTGCTTCAAGTCACAGCCACAGCAAGGGATGGGAAATAATCTTTACTGAGGAAAAGGTGGCAACAGACAATTCCTTTATTTCATTACATATTCTTTATGCTCTCTAGAATCTTTAAACTATCAAAGCTGTAGAAATTATTGTAAAATTCAGGAGTGACTATTTAATATCCTACTTCTGGCTAATTTCCTAATTTTCCTCTCTTAAAAGGGACTTTTACATTCTCCATGACTACCCACTGAGGAGCAAAAGAATAGGTTTACCTTGTTTCAATAACTACAGTCATTCAATTACCACTCACCATTCTGATCTAGATTTAAGAGGGAGCATTTGAAGTTTGCACCCTTTACCTCATCTCTACTCATCCTGGCACAGTACTCCCTCCACATGCTGATAAAATAAACTATCCCCACCCGCCATTAAGGTACCTCCACAGGACCTATTCTGCTAAAAAAAAAGGAAATCTCAAATAGCAAGTCCAACTCAAAAATGCCTCTATTTATTACATATACACATACTGTACTTGTTAGAGCTCTTGAAAGGAAAACACTGTTTTAGAGAAAGTTTATTTTTATAAAATATCACATTTACTAGTGAAAAATATTTTGCACATTTAACATTAAACAGCCTATGCCTTGCTATAAAACTTCCCTTTTCCAAATTAAAGATTGTTGTCCAAGTAAAGGGAGCAGTAGCAAATTACCTCTACCTAAATGTTTTTTGTAAAAAATAAATAGCATTTTTTAAGATGAGAGTCATACACATTCCCATTTTTCATTACTACTGAAAACAGTAGTACTGAAGCTAACTTCACCCCACAGTATTTAAAATCCACTAAACTGAGCTACAAGCATTAAGAACCTTCAGTGAAACAGACTTCATATGTAAGAAGTGGATTGTATTCCAGTAAAACGAAGTCAGTTTAATAATTATTAGTAAAGAAAAGAGGCTGTTTATAGTAGCGTTTCTTTCCTTTAACTCTTCTTTCAAGGCAAGTGGTTCAAAATTAGATTATATGTAATTAAGGACCAGGATCCAATAAACCAAAAATTTTACTCTCTACTCAAAGATTTCTTTGAGTAGAGAGTAAAATTTCATGTGCCAGGAAACTAACTGTGTCAGCACTCAGTTTCTTTATATGCAATCTGAATTAGATGATGGAGGAGAGAGAAAGAGGCAACTTGGCATTAAATAACTACTCATAATTTCTGTAATAAAATATATCTATAAGCACCAAGTACAGAAAGTACAGGAACATTACTACTGAGTTGAACTGGAACACCAATGCTCATGCCCACTTGCTCTGCAATACCTGGAGAAAAGACAGGATTTTATGCACTCCCACTATGGACAAATTCAGTTCTGCTAAGTGCCAAGGAAATGAAGTTGCAAAACAGAATGTGCTTCACACAGACAGACACACTTATTTGTTTACACAGCACAAAATTCCAATGATATCACAGTAGTGTATGGTGTAAGAAATGACACTTTAAGTACAGCAAATTTACAGGACTCTAGAAAACATTCAGAAGATTTCACCAGCATCCTAACTTATGCCTCTGAGACCAGAAAAACACTAGAAATCTTCATTATGTTTCTACAGTGCCTAGCAAAAGTATGCCCTCAACCACTATTTGAAAATGCTAGAAAACCCCAATGCAAATCATGAGATCTGTTTTTAAATGCTTTACTGGGAACTTTCTATTTGGGGAGCAGCCTGCCATTCTGAGATTCTTTATTTATTTTTAAATACGTCCTTCAAAACATTATTGTTCAAGGCACTGTAATTTACATCTACAGACTAGTGGTGCACTTAAGAAAAATCCTAACAAAACGACCCACTGCCTTTCCAAGCTGCATTTGCCAGTGTGGGAAGAGACTGCCACCCTGTGGGCTCCATCCAAGACACAACTGCAAGCCCTCACACTCAATACAAAATTGTTGAAAATTTTATTTTTAAGAAAGTGAGGTTATTTTTAGGATTTTCCCCATCAATATAATAACGTTTCAAATACATAAATTCACTTGTCATTCTGTACTGCACCTGAGAAAAATCAACATTTCATAAAGGCACTGTACATTGAAAGCTTTTTGGAATTACAAGAAAGAAACAATCTACCAAATCAAGCTTTGACCATAGTTAACTAGTGCAATCACTCAGATCACAAGTGAGTTAATGTTCTAAATGCTTGTGCCACCCTTGGGAAGGTTTAAACGCCTGTATTATGGCAATGCTGAATAGCATATACAGATAGTTTAACACCTCTTGAGGTCTGGAGTTCATTTGTATTTGTAAAATCCTTCTCCAGTCTTTTTACCCAACTTCTTTTCTTCTACCAGTTTATTCAGGAGTGGGCTGGGTGCAAAAAGAGGATTGTTGGGCTCTAATGAATGCCATCCTGGAAAGGAAGGGAATTGGATGAATTAGTAACATTTCTGTTTAGGTGCAAAGATAAAAGAGATCTACATCTCCTTAGAAAAATATTCAAAGGTCAGAAAATTGAAGAAGAACTGGAAGCTATTCTAGGCTCTCTATGACCCTGCAGTACAGCTTCATGAAGCCCAGGTCAGTATTGATGATTATGCACAAATTTAAGAATTAGTCTCCAGGCTCAGAGTACTCCAAACACCTTATAATCTCCACAATTGAGGATTTTTTAAAACAATTAAGGAGAAGAACTTTTGAAAAATAGTTAAGTACAAGGAAATAAAATAAAGGCTCTGCTGAAAAGAAATTCAAGTGCAAAGAAATTCCAAGTTGAATTTCTACCTGTGAAACACAGGGTTACTTAGAACAATAAAAGACTACTCCACAGTACAGACTAAGAACAAAAGAGGTTCCAGTGTAAATGCCATCATCAAAGTGACATTTTGCCTCAGAGAATGTTTAAGCTGCTCCTTAAAAAGAACACAACAACCATCAACAAGCCATCACCAATTATGTATGTTTTTGTTACTGTATTGACATTCACCCACTTATTAACTGAAGTGACAGGGAGATGGTTCACTTACATCTTTTGAGATATTTACTGGGTTTCCTGTTGATTAAGAATGAAAATATGGCTGCTAGAAAAAGGATAGGAAGTCTCAACATTTGTTGTTTCTCATAGAATTCTTCACCTCCAGTACATGCCACTCTTCCCATTGATTCTTTTTAGTTATATGAAGTACCATTAATGTTAATACCATTACTATTTTCCAATAGCACTTGATGAATTCAGCAAAGCCACCACTGTTCTGTCCCCATGTACAAAGGGTATAGACATGCAGTACAAATGCTGTACTCACACAGCATTCTGAGCTGAATTCTAACTCCTTTCTCCTCAACAGTTCAAAGGCTATACCATAAACATTCAGTTTAAATAATTAAGAGTCACATTTGCATTAAAACATCTACAATTTAGCTAGAAAGTAAAAAAACAGAATAAAAGAAGCATGCAATACCATCTATAATGTATTTACTGGTATCCAACCCAACATAGTCCAGCAGTTCAAATGGACCCATGGGATAGCCAGCCCCAAGCTTCATAGCAACATCAATATCTTCCTTTGATGCATCTCCTAGAGAAAAGATTGACAGTTTGATGAACAGAGAAGATTCTGCATCTCCTTGGCACCACTTATAAATAATTAACAGGGTGTTATTTCACCCTGGTGCAGCTCTTCACAGAAATCTCTGCATGTTTCACAGCCATAAAAACTGAAGTCAGCATACAGATGCTGGAGCATAAAGCTGAACATCCCACAAAAAAAAAAAAAAAAGAAAAAAAGCAAGCCCTGCAGGCCTGCTTTCCATTTTCCTGGTTTCCTCTTGCATTTCAATACAGAGCACTGCACTGCTGATGGAGCCACAGCTACCATGGTGACCCTATCAGAATATCAGAACAACTACAGGAACAACTGGTCACTATGAAGAAACAAGAGGCAGCAGAAAAAGGTAAGTAAGGAAACAACTCCATTTCAGCTTCATGAGATCAGCAGCAGCTTTTGAACAATGCACAGGACAGAGCTACCCTTACACTACAGTTGCCAGAACACAAATGATATCCAGCTCATGGGTAAGGCAGGCATAGAGAGGGAGCAGAAGCATCTGAGTAACATGCTTAGCTACAGTACTATCACCAGAGGATATCTGTTGGAATCAGAGATGGCAGACCAGAGAGACCTGAAATGACTGTGCAGGTGCAGTTGAATTCATGAATTCTGAAATTATTTAAAAAGAAATAATCAAAATTATCAGAAATCTGTTACTTCTACTTCAGTCTGCACCTATAAAAACACAAATCCTGCACTGCCACATTGTCACAGTTAACTTTAACCTCATTCTTTAGCTGGGAATACATATTTTAGACTGTCATCAAAGCAGACGCGCCTCTACTGCACACCTGTAACTCATATTTTGAGAAAGGCAGTGTAGCATCTCTGCAGATGCTACAAAAAGGATGAAGTTATACAAACCCCAGAGGTACTTGCTAAGTAACCTCCGTGCTCAATGAGTACAAGCATGCACGGTGTCCAGCAGCTTGGCAGACACAGCTTGTGCAATTTATACACCAAGATCAGAGAACCCTAGAAATAAAATTACAAAATCTCTGGTAAAGGTAACTTCAGTGACAGTTCTGTATGAACTAATAATTTATATATAACTCCTTTTACTCTTTAAAGCTGACAATGTTTTTTAAAGCTACATTTTAATTCTGAGAAGCTGCAGAGAGTAGTCTTACCTAATTCTAACATAATTTCAGTTCCCCACATTCAAACACAGCTAAATCCTCAGCTCATTTGTAGCTGATGCAGGTATACAGACTTGTTCTCTCAACACTTTATCAAACCTGGGACTTGGCCATGTGACAGTTTAATTACAACACCATAAAAAGCAGTAAAAGGGCAAACAAGGGCTATATCCCTAGTTCATTCTAGTCTCTCCTAGTATAAAGCAGACTTTCATAGAAACTTAGCTGACTGCTTTTTAGTTTTTCCACTAAGGACATAGCAGTACAGACCACTATACATTAATATGCCCCATTTAAGTAATTGTTAATATATTAAGCTATATTGCTTATGCACAAGTGCACGTTTAACAGAATGAGATTTTGTATAAATAAAAATGCAAGGACTAGGCCAATAACATGGCATTTCAGTGCTTGGGGAGAGACACTACTTCATTTAATGTAGATGTCAATCTGGCTCAAGTGTCTACTCAAGTGTCTACTCTGAGAATAAACATGAAGGATATGATAGAAATTTAACCTGATTCACAGGAACATATGAATTAAAAGACAGCCATCAACCTTCCCAATATATCAACTAGCTTTTTAAATAGATTTCATTAGAGTTAGAAAGTCACAAATTAACTTTAGCAATTTTGGAAATATCATACTGTGTGAGAAAATACAAAAAGAATAAAGAATAAATCAAAATACTCTTTTGCCTAAGCAAAAGAGTATTTTGATTTATTCTTTATTCTTTTTGCTTTTTGCTTTTTGATTTATTCTTTATTCTTTTTGCTTAGGCAAAAGCAGTCAGTTTTAACATACAAACTCAGTAACTGTTTTCTTCTGCATTTAATTAAAAGTTCTGTGGTCTTCTGAAATATACACAATGATACATGTCACTTAACAAAGGCACCTATTTTAAACACACTGAAACTCCCATACACTTTATTCAAAACTGTGACTTTTTAAAAAAGAATAATGCCCCCTCATATTTATGCCTTTGCCTTTCAAGTCACTAATTTTACTCTTCTCTCCCTTTGAGATGTAATTAGGTATACATCTGTTGATGGATAAACAAGTAGCGTTGTTTTATTTCCTTTTTTATTTTTAATCAAACCATCCCTTCCATGTGCTTTAAAAGAAATTTTTAATATTTAAAGCATACTTTGTGGAATCCTGAAATGGAGTGCTTTCATTTGTAAAAAGGCAGTGATTTCAAAAACAAAATGTTTCAAATGACATTCTGAGTAACACAGAGCTACAAGCAGAGAACTTGAAATAAAAGCAATTATAGTCTGTAATTTCATCTTTACCCACTACATTCATTATTGGCTTCTTTTCAAAACAAGCACCAATGCTTTGAAAAATTCAGTGGTCCTTTGGGGATTCATAATTATTTTTACCTACATATTAATGTGAAAGAGTCCAGCAGTGAGACTGACATTCCTGAAGAACCCATGTCTAAAAATCAACACAGAAGGGGAACAGGAAATTTTATGTGGCAGTTGCTGAGCTCAAATCACTTCAGTGCCAGATTCGTAGTGTGACACGATTACACCACTTACCTTGGTTTATTTCACAAGCCTCATATAAGCAAACTCAGGAGAACTTTACTAATGGTCCCATTATGGGACGGTCAATCACTTTTATCAATGTCTCCTGGGACAGAGAGAGAAAAGTTCCTGACTAGCAGGCAATGAATATTTTTACAATGGCACTACACTCACCTTGTCACCTCCAAGCCAGAAACATTTTCCACCACCAGGAATTTCACACACCATTTCCTTCCAACTCTGCATAACCTGACATTTCAAAGTGAAGGCAAAGCCTTTCCAGCTACACATGTTGGCTCATATTTAACACTCTCTATTGGTTTCCAGTCTTTAATGTCTGAAAATTTTGAGGGAATCCCACGGCTCTTCTGAAGCAATATAACATTTAGTGGTATTATATGCCAACATCCCTTGAAGTCAATATCCCACCAAGTACCTCTCTCAAAAAGACGAACAGCTTCCATCATATATGGCACCAGGAGACGATTTACAATAAACCCTGGAGTATCCTACGAAAAAGAAAAAAGGGATTCTAAGTAAACACACTTTACCAGAACTACACTCAATGCTATGCGACAAATAAAACAAGTGGATGAAGACACTTATTGTATCATTACTTAAGATACTTTCTGAACTGTATTTTTCATCTCATTTATCTGCTCAGTATTAAAGCATAAAACATGGTGAAATTCAAACAAGGAATGGCATATAAACAATCATCATGACTGAAAATAATAAGACTACTACAAGCCAAAGCAATTAATCTTAAAACAATTTAATATGGCTAGTCTTTTCTTATCAAGAGTCTAATGATATGATTTCCTGAAGGTGAGGAAAAAAGCATTTCTCCCTAGAACATTTTTTTGTGTGTGTGTCCGCTACCAGAAGCACTCTTGACTAAATAGTCTGCTTCTCCCCCACTGCTCCCTGGTGATCCATACTTCTGAAAGTTAGGATAGTTTTAACAGCAAACATCAACACTGAGAATGAAAAGATAAGACACATACTGTCAGAGGGTAACAAATGAATACAAAACTTATTTTGCACAAGCATAATCAAAAGCACAATCAAACACAAGAGTTTTGCAAATACAATATTTTTTTGTATATTACTATTCTTTCAGATGTTTATTATTCATTCCACTTTATATCAATATTTAATCCAGAGAACCCCAAGCAACGTTTCCCCTATAAGCAGGGATTAAAAAAAAAAAGTTCAGGCGTGAATACTGCATTATTCTCTATCCAAGATAATTTATAACAATTCATCCTATATTCTACACATTGCATAGTACTAAACTGTGACAGAAATAGGAAAAAAATCAACTAAGACCACAGAACAATTTAGCCAGAAGTTAGAGAACATAGCCAGAATTAGAGTCCAGCATCCAGAAGCTGAATTAATTAATCCGGTAACTACCAGATTGCAGGCCCTTCTTTTTATTATCAGCTGTCTCCTGGGGGCTGTGAAACCCAAAGCAGTAGGTTGCATAAAGCTATCCAGACCACAACTTAATGGATTCAGGAAAAGTGAGCTTTCGAAGTAGGGCGTTTCTCTAGAGGAAAAAATCCAAAGCTGAGAAGAAGCAAAGATTAATATGTGTCTTGTTACTGCAGTCTTAAGAAAAACTTGCAATGAGCACACACCATGGAAAATTCAGCCAACTGCCTCACAGTGCAAGAGGCAGCAGATTTGTCTCTGGCATGGCTAAAGATGAGCTCCTGCTTAAGCTCTCCAGTCCATGCTTCTGCAGGACTTGAAAAAGAGATTCCATAACAGTAAGTTCTGATACCTGTGAGTTTTGCTGCTCCAGAGTCTAGAGTCACTGGACTTTGAAGAATTTGTGGTAAATGTGGGTGTTTTCTTTGTCGGATTGCTTTTAATTATGAAGACAAACTGGACAAGAAGTAGCCTGGATTTTTTGAAGTGCTCAGACATCTACTAAAATCTACCACCTTAAAATTAGCAGTCTACAAGGACAGGCACTCTGAACACTATACTGTCAAAATGTACTCACCTTGCAACTGACAGGACTCTTTCCTACTGCTTTACTGAAATCCACAAGTGATTCAAAAGTCTTTTGGCTGGTCATTGGAGTCTTGATGACCTGGGTACAGGAAAGGTAGAGAGATCATAAGCATATTTCTGAGCAGAATCTTTCCCATTTCCCTATTACAGCAATGCAATCCAGAACACTCTTCCAGAAATTCACAAAATATTTTGCAGAAAACCAGCTTCAACGTGTAGATATGTAAGAGACACAGAACACTATTTTACATACAGATATAGCATTTTGAAATATTGTATTTCTTTAAGACACTTTCCCACTCAGCTACTATGGAAGGATGGTAAAATGAACCATTCTTTGAAAACACACTTAAGAGATTATAGTTTATCAAAACAACTTTAAAAGCTTCATAGTCTCTTGTCTTGGGAAACACAAAGACATCAATCTAGAGACCCATTTAAACAGCCATAGTTCCTGATATAACAAGTTCTAGCAGCTATTCCACCTCACTACAACCTTCTCTCAGGTAATTTTAGCACGTGATAAGGTTTCTCCTTGGCCTCCTTTTCTCAAGCTAAACAATCCCAGCTCCCTCAGCTGCTCCTCATGTGAGTTACTCTCTAAACTCTTTGCCAGCTGTGCTTCCTTTCTCTGGACACACTCCAGCACCTCAATGTCTTTCTTGTAGTGAAAGGCCCAGAACTGGACACAGCATTCAAGTACAGGGGGACAGTCAAGGCCCTGGTCCTGCTGGCTACACTATTTTTGACACAAGGCAGGATGGCATTAGCCTTCTTGGCCACCACCTAGGCACACACTGGCTCATGTTCAGCAGCTATCAGCCAGCACTCCCAGATCCTTTTCCTCTGGTCAGATTTCCAGTCCCTCTTCCCCACCCTGTAATGCTGGAAATATTGAAACAAACATGACTTTGTTTCAAAAGTGACAAGGCAATAAGATTTAATCTCCTGACATTTTCTATTTATTTCTACACTGGCATCAGCAATTCTTATGAATAAGCCTCCCTGCTTGAAATGATGACTATAAACAGCACCTCTGTTGGCAGTTCAGTGGAGAACTCAGAAACCTTGAGATTGAAGGAGTTACTCTGTCTCTTAAACCTGCCACTCAACAGAGACTGCAGCACCCTCTAATCACTAGAGGTAGCAAATTCCATATCAGAACGGCTGCAAACAGAGATCTGCTCTGTCAATCTAACTGAAATCCCACTGCTGACAATTGCACTGCTGGGCTGCAGTTGCTACTATGTGGAACATGATGATAGCAGCCCCTGTAAGGTGTGCTCATAAGACACTCACCTCCACAAGCTTCATCATAGGCACAGGATTGAAGAAATGGAGACCACCAAATCGGTCCTGCCTGGTGGTTGCATTTGCCATCTTTGTGATTTGCAAGGATGAAGTGTTGCTTGCAAATATTGTATGCCTAGAAATAAGAAATATACAGACTGCATAAAGGACAGCAGGAGACTGAGGCACTACACATAAACAGACATCCATTGGCTAACCATCCAGTAATTCTCAGAAATATCCCTGCAGTTTATCACAGTCCTTTTGCTGAGCTCTAAGCACAGCAATGATTAAATAACCACTGCAAAGACCATGTGAGTTTCTGATTCTTGAGAAATAATATTGAACACTTTTATTAGGGCTAGAAGAAAGGACTGTGCAAGTAGAAAATTTTATTTCACTCCCCAAATATATTCTAGGTAATTCCTTCAGCAATCCTGGAAACCTGAGGGTATCTTTATTTGTTGTTAAACACATTTACACATTTATTGAAACCCAATCATATGCCACATCAAAAATGCACTTTGGAGTCTTACAGAAAATTTGCAATCTACTTTGTTTTAAAATTATCAGTGATAGACATGATGAGCAAACCTACCACCAGAGCAAAGATTTGATGGGAAAAAAAAAAAAAAAAAAATTTTGAGACCTGCCATGCATAGGACACTGCAAAGGATACACAAAATGCCAAGAATTTTAAGACATATATGAAGTCCTTTTCCATTCATAAACCAGATTTACTAACTGCAACTTATAATGGTTTCAGTTTTTTGTTTGTTTGGGTTTTTCTTCCCAGAAATATCTCAAAACCTCAACAGCCCTGCTATCACACCAAAAACTTAGAGAAATGGCTTTTTCTTCAAATCAGAAACTAAATTGGAAATTAAAACCTACCTTTCATTTTGGGCTGCATCCTACTATCCCTTCAAAAAGTTATCCTACTGGGCTCAGGAAATGTTTATCTATCTTGATATTTTGCTTACATTGTCCCAATATGTAACTGAGCTTTACAACAGAGCTTTTAGAAAAGCTCTGTTGTAAACAGACTTTTACTTTTTAGAAAAGTACTTTTTACTTACTTTTTAGAAAAGTTATGTCCAAGTCATGGCGACATTTTATACTGGCATTAAAGAAAACATCTCAAAACAAAAATATCCACTTTGTTTTCCATTTTTAATGATGTTTTCTTTTTGTTATAGTGGAGGAAATAAAAAATCCTGAAAATTACTGTTTACTATTCTTACAAATATTCTTTTAGTATGTCTCCACCATAAAGTGGCCTTATACTGTTCTGAAGTGATGTACTAAAAGGAGCATTCTGCATTTCATAGTTTTGACTGTGCAAGGTCAGTGCATATAAAAGTCTCACTGAAAATTTGCCACTATATATAAAAATTAAAATATTTATATAAAAAAGAAGCACATTGATTTGTGAAATATAATCATTGCTAGCTTTCTATTTGAGTTCACTTAAGAGACTTTACCTCAGTACCTCTTCTATAGCCCACACATTAGAAAGCCTTGGAAAAAAGAAAACTATTGGATTTGCACTGTGAACAAATGCATTTTAGTTACAAATTCTTCTCTGACAAAGCAATTAATTTCAGTTGAGTTTAGAATAGAATTTTCATGCCTCTGTGACTCAGAATGACACAATCCACGCTTCAGGTGACAGCAGGATTGGAAGGCTTTGGGAAATGGCTTTACCAGCACAGAGTGCTTTCTCTTGGTGCCATCTAGTGGCTCAGGGAAAGGCGCCAAAAGCAGAGCCCAACACAAGAGAAATGTTAATAAATATTTCCAATAAATCCAACTCCTACAGTCCAGCTGCCTTACACAACAAACGCTGAATAATACTATTTTTTAAACAGTTTTATAACAGATTCATTTTAACACAGTGAACAGCTGAAAAACACTGGTCAGGTCCAAGCTGAGTTTCCACATCTAAAGGCAAATCCTAGACCAAGGCATATTGATGGACATTTCCAACGTCCCAGAAAAAAACAGAAATCAAGGACAGAAAAGTTCTTAAAGTGGATATACAAAAGTTCTTTTGTCATACTCCTTACGACACCTGTTTGGAAAAGTGCTGCAGCATCTACAAAAATCCTAGCCTAACCTTTTTCAAAATGGAAATGCAAGACTAACACCATTCAAGAAAAGGAAAACAGAACTAAAGAGTAGGTAGCAATGCTTTACTCTGCTCAAGGATGATGACCATGTAACGCAGTAATAAATACCAAATATGGTGAGTTTAATACTGAAAGGAATAGAATTTGCAATTCTGCCTTCCACATTTTGCAAAGCTCCAAGAACATAAATTTTTGCAAAGTTCCAAGAACATAAACCAGTATGTTCTCAGGTTAATGGCACCCAAGAAACAGCATCCAGTTTCACCTGGACAGTTACCCAAATGAGGAATACCCTGACTTTCCAAGGTGCAGCTGGGACTGCCAAATGCTGCTGGCTTATTACACTTGATTTGAACACTTCGGAGAAATTGTCTCCCCACTCACAAATACAACTTCTCTCAATAAAAGAATAGCTTTCCCACCCCCTCCATGTTTAGAGCCACTTTTAGAGAAATTATAGTTACTTTATAAGAAAAGAAATAAAGTTAATTGTGCTATGCTTTTTCAATGTAATATTTAAGTTTTTTGTGGTTCCTAGACTTATTTCTCTTCCATGGAGATAGCTTCATATGGCAAAAATGGGAGATGAACAAGTACATGTTGAGGAAATGTATGAGACATGAAATACATCACAAAAGAAGAAAAATGCAGGGTTTCACACACCTTGTATTTCGCAGACAGAATTCATCATCTTTTCAGAACAACTGTAATACATAGCCCCACATATTTACACCCACTATCATCCAGCCCTGTGGGAAGCCCTGAGATTTGAATGAAGCCAAGTCATCCCTCCACAGCATCCTGGTCTTTCCCTGTAAGCCACACTTCAGAGGGCCATAAGAGCTCAGAGCCCTTCAGAAGCAAAGCTCCTCCTGAGACTCAAAGCTGTCTTTGAATAAATCCTGTCTTTGTTACCAATTAACCACAAGCCTACCACCCCTACTGAGCTGACACAACAGTTAGTCTACACAATAGGTTTATAAATTTTGAACTTAGAAAAGGCTGTAGAATGCTTGCACTGAGAGGAAGAGCTTTCCATTCCAGCAAAGTACCATGAGGGATGAGTAAAGCCTACTGCCTCCTTCCAGCACATGGAAAAACATTCACTACAGGTTTCTGTCCTTTCTCACACCACGCACACCATCTGCAACTCTATACTCTCTCACAGTTACAAATTACCTTTTGTATCCAAAGCTAATATTTTAAACACTTAGCTACTAAGTTTCACTATTCTACCAGTTTTTCTTTTTTTCTTTAGACTTTCTACACTGCAACACATTTGTTTTGCCATCCACTTAACCTTCCTTTATCCTACACATAAAATATCTCTATGTTTATAATAGCTTCCAAACACCCTATTAAAAAGAAAGGCTTCTTGTCTTAGCCGTTTTTCCCAACCCTGCAAAATCATTCCTTTCACAACAGGCAGGAGTATATTTGAACAACTCCCAGTATCTTCTAACACTGTGATGTAAAATTTGATGTTTTACAGCAGCTATGCTGACAAACAGCTCAGTCTTACAAAAAATAGCCTCAGGTGTTCCAAGCGTACATATTTTTAGGTGAGGCTCTAAGTCCCCATGCCCACATTTCCTTGCTGACTGGTTTTAGACAGTTTACCATTTAGTACACTCCAGTTTGCTCATTAAATACCTGGACAAACAATGGTCTGTTTGCACAAAATAGATATAAACCAAACAAAACAAGGTTCTCTCATAAATGTGGAAGGCATCTACTTACTTTTGTGTGTCAGGTTAATGGCAAGTTACCCTGTGCTCAGTAGATGGCTGCTTGTGATCATTTACTGTTTTCAATATTACCAGGTAACTTTAATTACTGACAGTAGGAGAAAGACTGAAAATCTCCCCAGGCTGAAGTCAACTAATGACAATTTCTTTTCTCCCTTGACATGATATTCACAGCACAGCTTTCCCATCTGACAGGTCAGACAGTCTAGAATACCTCTCAGTCAATATACCTCCAGATTTACCTGCACTAGTTAAAATCTCAACAAGCAGTCAAGGTGTTGTAATCCTGACTCAATTACAAGGCTCAAACTTCTGAGACAGCATGCTCACCTTAATAGCATTTTTGGGTTTGGATACAATTCAACAGTAGCTTCAACAGATATCAAATATATTTCCAGGGACTTTATGTAACTGAATGAGTACCTACTAAAATACTATTTACCCTTTTACAGCACACACAATAACAGCAATGTCCGTTTCCCAAGTCTTGTAATACAAAGTGAAGTTAGTTCACTTAAGACATTATTGAGATGACTGAGACTTCTTAAAACTTGTTCATGACAGATGTGCTGGAAACAAATACTTTATCCTCCCAATTCCCTATTTAAGTATGGCAACACAACTGTAACCCATGTCCACTGGAACAGGTTAATTCTACTGTTCTGCACTTGTAGTTGGATTAAAATTTGAACTTGCCAAGTAGATAGGCAATCTTAATGACTAAACACACCTGGAACAACAAATGAAGCAATGCAACAAGCAAATGAAACAATGCAACACACCTGAGATTGTTTATAACATATGCACCTGGCACAAATACTATTCCACACCAACATGGTAGTCTGAAGCTAGTCTAAAACAGCAAAACTCGTTCTTAAATAAAGCAGCTAAGAAAACAGAGAACTAGCTGTGAGTGTAAAAACAGGAAATAGTCTAAATTTCAAAATGTAATAGGAAAAATAAACATACTCTGGAGCAAACTTATCCAGCGTCTTGAAGAGTTTATTTTTAACTTCCAGGTTCTCCACAATGGCTTCTATCACCAAATCCGTGCTGTGGACCACTGATGCTGCATCTGTGCTTGTTGTGAGGTTCTGCAAGGTCTTCTTAACAAACTCAGCACCAGCCTAAAACATTTTCAAACAGCTGTAATGTCTATTTACAGTGATTTAATTTACACAAGAATCTCCTTATGTTCTCTGGTGGTTTTGACCCCTTCAAAATGCAGGCAGTCTGCCATATTTCCAAATCAATGAGAAAGTTCTAAGTGTGTAGAGGTACAATGCTTTCCACTGACAAAATTTTCCTAGCCAATCAAATCTGTTTTGAAGCAAATAGGAGACCTTTAAATTCATTCTTTTAGGAAGACCATTTGCTGTAGTCCAACCTTCAGCACGAGAGTCTGAGTAATTACCTGGTTGGTCAATCAGTAGTTACAGTTTCAATGAAAAAGTGGGGGAAAAATGTTTCCTCACTAGTAAATCTGTTGACATTGTTTGTGAGGGTAGAAATCAAACAGAAATGCAAGACTCTTAGCCAAGGGTAAAGGAAGATGCAGTACAAATGGAAAAAACCCCATATGGTAGAATACAATTTCATACAAAAAGTTCAAGTATTATGTGGACAGTTTTCTTTTTGATGAAAAGGCTCTCCATAACTCTGTATGTATACCCTACTTATCCTGGCACTGCCATACTCCTGCAAACAAGCTCTTTTTATTTCCTTCATCTGCTGCATCTTTTTCTTGCAGTCATCAATATCAGTATACATTGTACATGTATAATAATACGTAGCAAAAGAAGAAATCAATCTGCTGAAGAATTTAGAGAAGCAAGCAACGGCACCACAGTGGTTTGCTGTATGCAAGAGTTACTCAGCAATGCAAGTACAAAGTTATACATCTAACACGTGCCACTTGCACTCTCATTTCCTTTGCAGTAATCCTGTACCCAAGTGTTAGGAGGAGAAAAAAAAAAAAGACTCCTTACTCAAGTATCAGGACAATTTTGTTACTATTTGCTTTTGGAAAAACAGGTAAGCACCCAAAGACTGCTTGCTTTTAAGTTCTGATGAACAGTTTTATTCCATTTCACACTTAGCATCTGTTTTAAAAGATTGCCAAGTTGGTTAAAATCTTTAGCTTAAAGCTGAAGTTTATTAAGGAAAGAAAATGAGGTAGCACATCTTTCAATCTCTCTAAATTAAAAAAGAAAAAAACAAAACAACAAAACAAAACCAAACTGAAAGTCCAGGTTCTTGAGCACACTGGGGGAAAAGTTTTCTTTTTAAGCAAGTATAATAACATGCTCTATAATGCATAACTGCAGTATCATCATTTCAATATAGCAGTTTTCATTCTTCCAAGTTTTCCTAGAGGAATAAAGAAGGTGTCAACCTCAGGCTTATCTGCAAATTTCTTCTTTATCACTCTTTTCAAACTCTCTTCAATTCCTTTTGTAGACTTTTTAAGGATTTCATCTGACTGGTCAACTAACACCACAGTGTGACCACTGGCTGCTGCAACCTGGAAGTTAAAAAAAAAAAATCAACATCAATGTCACAAAACAATCAACCATGTTGACTTGTGTTGGCAGACAATACACCATTCATTTATGCAAAAGAGAGCTAAAATACAGTGAATTAAATGCATTTGTCTAGAAAAATCATAAAAGCCTGTATACAGTTTGGGTGATGCTGAAGGGATAAAGGTCTCAAAGAACTTGAGGGAAAAGGAAAAAGAAATCTCTCCCTCACACTATCTGCAGAATCTTGTGTCTGAAGACATCTAAATTCAGTGGCTGTGGCTACAGAATAAACAGCTGTCTTGAAAGAAACAAGCCTTGACTCTTGTAAGGAGAAAGGGCTGTGGAAACCAAAATTGGAACCTTGGCAGGCTGAGCAGGTGGCACAGGGGACGGCCAGCCCTGTGTCCCCAGGACACAGCTCTGCTGTTAGGCCATGAGCATGTCCTTGCAACAACAGGAAGGTGACAGTGGAGCTGGGAGCAGGGGTGAATGTTTGCCACTCCAGGATTCCACAAAGACAAGAATGGCTGCAAAGTCTCCTTACCCTGCACTTGGTGCAAACACTGGCTCAGCTACACACAGCACTAGTGGATTGCCTTTTTGGTTGGTATTTCAATTAATTTCAAACACATAACCTCACTGTCTTGCACTGTACTAGCATATTAAAAATCAGCTGCTGCTATCTGTTACTTCACTTTTACCTTATGTTCTTCTTGTTAGCAACAGCCTATCTTCACTTCCAGAATCCTTGAACTAACAGAGTTGTGATTTAGTAACTGTGTAAAAGAGACATTAAAACACTGATGTTTTTAAAGTGAGTCAACTTCAGAGCTTCCCTTCTGCAATCTTTCACCTTGCATTTAACCTTGCATCTGATGACTAAAGACTCGTGCACCCAAAGACCTACTCCAACACAGCTAGCTGAAATGGAAAGTACAGCTATCTCATGAAGAAAAGCACAGTGATATTCTCATCCAATTTGCCTCACTAACCCGGCAAATAAAGAGATGCTAGACTGCCTCAGGACAGCAGCAGTAGAGCTCTAACCAGGGGTCAGTCTGCAGATCTAGATTTCTTTATCCAACTTGGTTTTTTATTTTCACTATGGCCATTCCATAAAAAAATCACTTAAACCAAACTTGTACTTCTACTCGTAACACTTCATCTGTTCCAAATAAATTGTAACAGTGCTTTTTCATCTGAAGATAAAAAATCATTACCAAGCACACTTTTAAGAGGTGCTTTACTGAGGATCCATTTATGACACTGTCACTGACCAGCCAGTGAAAAATCCTAGAAAAATTAACATCTTCCATTTCCCACCATATCTACATGGACAGGGAGAAAGAAAATGAGACAAGATCATACCATTTCCTTGCAACTCAATCACACACTTGCCTAAACTCTACTATCCAATGACCTTAAGAGTGCATGGGAAGTCAATTAATGTTTTTTTCACACAGAAGTGCTTTTCACAGGGCAGAATCTAAAATTATGGCTTTCAGCCATACACTTTAGCAGAGGCTTGTTTCACCTGACAGTATAGAAAGCCAAGAGGAGAGGAGACACAATTTCTTAAGTGCTCAAAAAGGGATGAAAAGCAGTTTTATTAATAGGGACAGGGGAGACACAACTCAGTGTTATAATGACCTCTGCTTTGAGATACGTTTGGATTGATAAATTGGAGGCAGATGGTCAGCAAAACAGTCCTGGGTCCTTAACAGTGGTAGATGCCTGCAACCCCTGTTACTGTCAAATACCAGACATGTTTCTCTTGACAAGCTGCTCTCTGAAAATGTGCAGTCCAGCAGAACAAGATCAGCACACTTACCTGGAAAATTATAAGCTTTGCACAGACTGCATCTTCCTCAAATACAAGAACAACTTTTTTCTAAGTTGCTCTTTGATGGTTCTTCAGTGGAAACCTCAAGCTCTAGTATTACAATACAGAGGAGTGTTTTAATCAGAAAAGACAACAACTATTTTCTTAGCCAAAAAAATTGCCTCTGTATTTGATCTGCTTGAGATTTGCCAGGAATGTAAGAAATCTTTAGATCTGAGAAGCAAACCTATTAATTCATTGAAATGGAGAACTGCTATTCAAGAGCTACAGCCTCACTGTCAGTTTCTGCTTGGATGTTTGCCTACCCGCCTTATTCTTTGTGAAGTTTGTGAGCTACCCTGGTATCCTGGACAACAGGTTCTGTGAATTAACTAACTGCTGAAATTTTCAATCACTGAAAGTACTCTTCAATTTAATGTCCTAAAGCTATCTAGTTAAAGGTGAACTTAAAAGCTAAAGGGCTGAGATCAAACTCTGGGAAAATAAGTCCTATTTAAAAATTAACCACTTCATAATTCTGAAGATGACTGACAGCTAAATGCTCATTTTAGCTCCTGCATTCTGCTGGTCTAAAATGTCACTTGATCTGCTCTCTTGCCAAGTTAGAAGAATCTTTCCAACCAAGAATCTTCATTCCAACCATGTATCATTACCCACTGTCTGTTTACAATTAGTCCACGCATTGTCGTAAGAACCACCTTAAGCAATTTAAGCCGTCGGCCTTGGTTCTTCTCGCCAAACCTCTGACCTGAAGATGGGCGGGCCAGCAGAAGTGCGAGTTGAGCAAGCAGAGGGGAGCGGAGCAGCAATACTCCGTACCCGCCTCGGCAGCAGTGGAACCCCAACGCGCGGCAGCGCGGCCGCGGAGCGCAGGGGCGCGTCCCAGCACGGCGGCGAGCCGGCACAGCCACTGCCTCCCACGCAAACACGGCCTGGAAAGGCAACCGCGAAGGAGTTCGACCGCGGACTGTAGCACATTCCGAGAAGCGCTAGGAAGATTGTTATGTTTAGCCGTGGGCTTTATTAGCGCTGGTCCGCCAGCAGACCGCTCGCTCCTTCTCGCCCGGGGACAGCGGGAGCGCAGCGCCACGGCCGGGCCCAGCTGCGAGCGCCAAGCCGCGGGGCCGCAGGAGCAGCCGCCCGGGAAGGGCTCGCCCCAAGCCCCGCGGCCCCGCCGGGCCCCGGCCGCCATGGCGCCTCCCCGCCCCGGGCCGCCGCACCGCGCTCACCTGGGCGATGCCGGCGCCCATGAGGCCGCCGCCGATGATCGTGACATGCTTGATGAGCAGCTTCTTGGCGGCCGCCGTGGCGGCGTCGGAGGAGGCGGCGCGCACGAAGTGGCGGGTGGCGAAGGCCATGGCGAAGGCGCGGAGCGAGCGGCGGGGCCGGGCGGGGCGGGGCCGGGCGAGGGCCGCGCTCCGCCCCGGGGGAAGGCGGCCGGCTCCGGCTGCCCCGAACCAGCTGCTCGCCGGGGAGAGAGGTGCATTGGCCCCTACACCTTCGCTACCTCTGATTTGCTTAAGAGCCAGGGCAAGGACAAGGTCAGCACTGCCGGAACGCCCGCAAGCCCCCGGCTGGCGCTGGGCCGGCGGCCGAGGCTGCGCTAGTGCCCGTCCTTTGCCTCAGAGGTCACCGCGCTGCCCTCCATGCTCACAGAATCCCTGTATCAGTGAGCTTGGAAAGACCTCCGAGACCAAACACCACCATGTCGACTGAACCACGGCCAAAGTGGCACATCCAGTCTTCCACTAAACACCTCCAGGGACGGTGACTCCACCACCTCCCTGGGCAGCTCATTCCAGTATCAAATCACCCTCTCTGTGAACACGGTGATCAACCCAAACCTCTCCCGGCACAGCTTAAGGCTGTGTCCTCTTATCCTGTCACCGGTTTGAATGGGAGAAGAGGTCTACCCCCACTTGGCTACACCCTCCTGTAGTTGTAGAGAGCGATAAGGTCTCCCCTGAGCCCCCTTTCCCCAGGGCTAGACAACGCCAGATCCCTCAGCCGCTCCTCACGGGACCCGTGTTCCAGACCCTTCCCCAGCCTCTTTCCCTTCTCTGGACACCCTCCACCTCCTCACTGTTCTTCCTATCCACATCATTAGAAGCTGTTTCTCCACAACAAAAGTTTCCTGACTAGAAGGGAATGCTATTTCCAGGCTAGCACAAGATACATAATAAAAAATATAATAAAAAAACCCAAGAAAAATTATTCCATTATAAACACTAACAGCTGAATCATATCGGATGCAGACTGCCCTGATTTCCATCTAATTAATTTATCACCAGAAAGACCTGCACTTCAGTAGTAGCTGACAACACAGCAATTACTACTTGAGTCAGCACCAGGGTAAACATTAAGCAGATTGTTTTATCCGACTAAAGTAAGTGTTGTATTCTCATATGTATGCACTTTGTACCACAAACCTACTGCAAAAAAATTCACCTGGATTAGGCAGGAGCAGGAGGTGGCTGTGGAAACAGCTTCATCCAAAGACTCACCCTTAATGATCTTTGTGTATACAAATGACAGCAGAATGGTAATTTCCCTTAATTTCCCCTAAAAAAAGCCAACCAAACAAAAAATAGCAGTATGCCAAGTAACCTGCAACCTAACTCCAGGGCATAAGACACAAGATTTCCACCCACAGCTCTTGTTGCTGAGTGCCCAGCTCCTGGTTAACACCAGTGTTAATACCCACCCCCTCCCCACAAACACTTTAGCTGGCTCCAGCTCAGCCCTCTGCTCTTCCATAGGGAAGGATCTCCCATTTTCCCCTGAGGCCCCTTGGGTGCTCTTTGCCTTCCCCCGCAGGCTCCCCCTTGGGCACCCCTTTCCCTCTCTGCCCTCTGTCTCCCTCGATGCCAGGAGTCAAAAAAAAATTACACCTCAACTTCTGCCCAGGTTTTCTTTCCTGCAGACTGCAAACCTCCTACTGCTGACAATTCATTTGCTCTTTTACCTCCCTCATCTCCTACCATTCCCTCTTCTATTCTGGATAACTGTTTTTAAAAAAACCTCTTTCTGTCATTTGATCATAACATGCCTGGCAATGTTATTTTCCCAATTTCACTTTGTTTCCCCACCTCCTTCACTCCTCATCCAAAGCATTTTTAACATTTTCTCACTCAGAAGCTTATTCTGCAAGATGTAAGATGCCAAACACCACAAGTTTAGTCAGTAAGTGGAACTCATTGAAATAACTATGCAAAGCTGTGAAACACTTACTTGGGAATTACTTTATTCAAAATAAAAACACATTGAAGCAAAGTAATTTTAGAAATAAAGATATTTGCAGCATTCAGAAACAGTCACCCACTTATCTGAGCATACATTTTTTCAACGAGGCATTTAAGATGCTTCCTCTGCTAAAAAAAGGAGAAGGGAAGGATACATTTACAAAAACAAACCAACTTTGCTACCACTCTTTACAGTTTGCCAAAGATGGCAACACACTTTGAAAACCACAGATTTTGCTGCTTCCGTGCTATTGTTTAGCTACTTTTATGGTGTCCTGTGAAAATTTCAATGCACCTGGAAGGTATGAAAGGCAGGTCTTTATTGTCATTTCCAACAGCATCATGTATTCTTGCACACCTTGACATGGTTGGAACCTCCAATCAGTAGTTTTAGCCTGTCACACATTGAAGCATTTGATTACATATATAACCAAAAAACACATTTTCAAAGTATAATTTGTAGAAGGCTAATTCTCAAAGGATAGTTTTCAAATGTGACATTTTAAACTAAACTCAGCAGGCAAAACAAGCACAAATATGTACAGTTTCACATTCCAGGGGATTATGTGAATTGTATCTTCTTTGGAATCTGTAAAAAAAATACTAAAGTGCTTTTCAAATGCGTCCTCATTGATTAAAAGGACGGGTATATTGTACAAATGATCAGTTGCACACCAACATCATTATGTTGTTTAAAGAGGCATTTCAACAAAAAGATAAATATTATCAGCACTTAATTTTAGCTTCTCAATTAAGCATAATTTTAGGATTTCCAGACAAAAATCCCAACTCTACAGAATCTATTTATTAATTGGAAAATACAAAATTAAATAAAATAAAGTGCTTAATTCTCCAGTACTGTCTGGTTTAAGAGCAAGTTCACTGTCATTGTTACCAAACTCAACTTTTTATTGTACTTAATTTTCAAAAACTTCATACCAAAAAACCAAACCCACAAGCCTATATAGCCCAAAGTTAACCTAATTAGAGAACTGAAAGTTCTCACACAAACAGTGGATACCTGGCCAACCAAATACATAATTCAAAAATTAAGGCACTCTGTTATTCAAAGCAGGTAACAGAAAACCTTAATTTAAATACAAAATAACTATCTTGCAGTCTTTGTTAGGCACTACCTGGCTTTTAAAACTTCAATGTTAAAATTGACAAAACCAGACATTAATGTAAAGCTGAGAAGTTGTCTCTTCTTTTACAATTTGGGTTTTGTTTCTGCTATGGAATACCCAATTCTAAATTACATTGAAATTCACATTCCAGTCTTGTAAACTTGACATTAGGAGGGCTCCGGGTCCCACTCTAGATCTCCAGTGAGGGAAAAAAATCTTTTTAGAAGAGTATATGAGAACTTAATTCACGTGATATGAAATTCTGATTGATCAAAAGGAGTGTAAAGAGATTAAAGAATGATTAAGAACAACTATTTAAAGATTAGTTGTTACATAGTCCCCCAAAAGATGACTTTCCATGTCTGAAGTATAGGGCAAGACCGAGTGCCCTGCTCTGAAACAATCACCATGAGGTTTCCTTGGCAGCTGGTTTGACAGTGGTTAAGAGCACTAACACTCTGCATGTGAAAAAAGTACTGACACACTAATGCTGTCTGAACTACAGATACTTTTACTCTATATGGAGAATAATAAAGAGAGAGTCATTATATTCAAACCTCAAGTTTGTCAGCTTATTCCTGTTCCATGGTAAATGTATAAGCAGTACCTGTACTGCTGTAGTGATGCCATATTTGAAGACTCCAGTTCCCAAAGCCAGAGGTTGTGGCAGTACTGTCCACACTGCCTGTGGATGAAAAACCTGAGCACCAGCCTCAACTTCAGGACTACACATGGAGTGTTTTCCCCAGTGAGCAGCTGCTGGTCCCGTCCAGCCTGCAGCCACTGCTGCCATGAGGTAAACAATAAATGCCAAGAGGCAGCAAGATGTCTTGAATATGTTTGGCACTGGAAGATCAGAGTTCTGCTGTTTCTTGTTAGAGAGTTCTGCTTTAGTTTGTATCTGAGATAAAACATCTGCATCCCGATACTGCACACCCATTTCGTGCTGAGAATATGGCATATTCAAGGATTCATTTGGCTTCAAATCCTGGCTTTTCCAACTTGGTACCTGCTTTTTTACAGTGAGCCCTGAATCTCAAGGATATTTGGATCCAATCTACTACATCTATAAGTTAGTTGCAAAAAAGAATCCTCCAAGGTTAAAAGTAATGTCATTTGGTAATTTCCAAAAAGCGTAAGTAATTATTTAAGCTCAGTTATAATCTTTCTTTTCACAGAAAATGCTAACAATTCATTAACACTTTTAATATTATATTATGTGTTTCACTCCTTTGGTAAATGAAATGTTTATGTGTTGCTTTCACAATTTTTTACAATTACTTTTTGCCAGAACCGTAACAAATGTTTTGGACCATTCTCCCATAATCAACATTTGACAAACTGACCATAATCAACAGAGTAAGCCCACCAAGTTTGAGTATCAAATTAAAAACTATGCTGCCAGTTAATTTGTGGAATGCAACAGCTGACAGAAAAAAAAAATCTTCTTTCCAGAAGGCTAAATGGATCATTCTCACTGACTACGAAAACTATGCAGTTTGGGTTATTTTCTGGAAAGAAAGTAACAAAATAAGCTGGAAATAATATTTTTTTTTTAAAAAAAAAAGCTGTATTTTAAAAGTGCAGTATTTCTTTGCTTAATCTCTTTTGACACTGTATCATTTCTTCAAAGCTATTATGTTGAATGGACATGGAGCTAATGTTAGACCAAACCTTCCCTCCATAGATGGTTTTGCAGCATTTTCAGGGTACATAAAGGTAAAACTTTGCATAAGACTTGAAAAAATCAAGAACAGCTCCATTTTTGCCAACTGCTCGCCCATGCACACACGTTTACCTAAAGAACAGTTAGAAGAGAGGTATTACTGGCTTTATACAGTTGACCAATTTGTTAACACACATGTAATTCCTGTGCTACCTTAGTCCAAAAAAGGCTCAAACTACTGTTAAGCTATGACCTCTGAAGCTCTGGCCTCCTGTATTTGAGTCTAAGCATTGCTCAGCTGTACTAGTTCATATTAACAATATTTACATCCACAGCAAAAGCAGTATTAAAGGACA